ATAAAAATAAAAAATAAATTAATTAATTAAAAAAATAAAATATTGGAAATGAAACATAAGTTTCTTTTCCCAAATATGCCTGCAATTTCAGACTCATGATCTGTTTCTAACATGTTGTTTTTGAGGATATAATTAAATTGTACTTGAGAATAACTTTCATTGGTCTGAAACCTGATCTTCTGCTAGCTGCTTAAAGATCCTTGAAGGACCTTGGAATGAGATTATGAACAGCTGTCAGAAGTACCCATCCTCCTTTACATCTGCTGAAATCAGAGGGCCAGAACCCAAGAAGTCAAGTGTGTTCTTAAGATAAATATATCCTCTGGTTCCTGACAAGCAGTCAATCTTTCCCTCATTTTTCAGATTCCTGGAGGAAACATCCCAGGAAATATGAACAATCTTCTAGGGGTTCATGACTCTGGAGTCACATGGCTAAAATATAAATCCCTACTCTGCCACTTTCTAGCTGTATGAACTCGGGCAAGTTATTTAAACTTTCTGTAAAATGGGAATTAACAGTGCTTACCTCCTAGGATTATTGAGAGGCTTAATTAATATGTGTAAACTGCTTATATTAGTGCCTAGTACTTTCAGTGTTGCCATTAATAAAATATTATTCAAATCTGTACCCCCAAATACTGCTAAGATCCTACTGTCTCCAATTTCATACTAGGGTTTTCATGTAGGTTTTAAGGGGATCAAGAAAGTTTATATTAATAAGATTAGTATTTAAATACTACAGTATAATATAATGCAATTGGTACCACATTTAACCACTCATCTAGCACATAGCTAAAATGCCACCTATTTATTTATTACCATAATCTTCTCCTCTTAAAATTTCAGGAGCAATGTAATTGGGAGTACCACAAAAAGTGCTGGTTGTATCTCCTGGCCGTAATCCTTCCTTTTATAAAAAAAAGAAAAGAAAAAAAAGATATAATAAGATAGAAAATTATCTTCTAAATTCATCTCTTTTATTTCATCTATTATATAAGCTCAGCATCTATAGGTAATATATTAAGCTTAAATAAAATACCACTAGCACAGTTTTCCATATTATTAAAATCACAGGTTGCCACTAAATAGCTTAAAGAAAACCTGTCCTCATTAGATGTTGGCAGAGTTCAGTTAAGATAAAAACTGCACTTGAAATAATTTATAATCAAGTAAAAATTTAATACAAAAATTTAACTTGTATGAGTAAAAGGAATCAACATATTTTATGAAGAAAAGAAGCACTGTATATCCCATCTCCTAACACAAGCACTGCTGCCATAATGATGTTTTCCTTCTGGTTGTTTTTCCTAAGGCATACATTTTTTCGTTTTGTATTTCAATTGAAAAAATTAAGGCAAAACATACTAATGTGTATAAATAGAGAAACTACACAATGACAAATGGAAAAATCACCAAAAAGTTATAACAAACTTGCATGCACCTAACAACACAGTCTCAAAACACAAAGAGTAAAAATAGATAAATTAGGAGAATTTCACAATCCCTGCTATGGAATGAACGTTTGTATGCCCCCAAAATTCATATGCTGAAGCCCTAATGTGATAGCACTGGGAGATGGGGCCTTTGGGAAGTAATTAGGTCATTAGGTTGGAGCCTAATCCTGATGGAATTAGTTATCTTTATAAGAAGAAGAGAGCTCCCTCTCTCTCTTTCTGCCATGTGAGGATACAACAAGAAGACACATCTGCAAACCATGAAGAGTGCCTTCACCAGACACTAGTTCTGCTAGTACCTTGATCTTGGACTTCCCAGCCTCCAGAAGTGTGAGAAATAAATGTTTGTTGCTTAAGTCACCTAGTCTACAGTATATTGATACAGCAGCCTGAAGTGATAATACAATCCCCAATCATGACAAGTGATTTTAACACATCTATATCAGAAAATGATATATCATACAGACAAAAAAATTTAGTAAGCAGAAAAAGATTTAGACAAAAGCTAGAGCTAAATATAATATACATACTTAGAGAATATGTATAATCTATGTGCATGTGAGGAGAAAGGGAGGAGGGAAAGAAAGAGAGTGAAGGACAGAGAGACTCCTTGCATGGAAACAAGAGATTATATATCTTTTTTTAAGTACATGTGGGATACTGATCAAATGCTAAGTCACAAAGGAAACCTCAATATATTTTCAAAGAAACCTGTATCATTCATACCATTTGCTGGCCACAAGGCAATTAAATAAGAAATCAACAATAAAAAGATAGTTTAAAAACAAGACAAACAATATTAAATATACAATTAAACAAGCAAGAGAAAGACAATTCATTTTCATGAGTTTCATTGTTTAAGTAATGCATGCCCATCATAGTAACTTAAAAAATATGTAAAAGTAAACAAAATAAATGTGTAATGCTACATAACAGAACAACACATACAGAATTAGACAATGCTCTACTTTAGAACTTTATTTAATGTGATATTATAAACATTTTACATTGTTATGAACTTTTGGTAAACATCTTAATGACTTCATAATGCTCTGTTCTGTAGTCATGCCATAATTTCCCTAATCATTCTCCTTACCAGTGGCCATGTAGATTATATATAATATTTATCACAAACTGTAATAAAAAACTTTGGTCATAAACTTTTCCTCATAGACCAAAATATTCACTCAGAATATCCCAGAGGCAGAAGTACTAGATAAAAGAGTACGGCTGTACATCTTTAAGATTTCTGATACATCACCACCAACTACTTTCCAAAAGATTGGAACAATGCACACATTCACCACTGATACAGGAGAATACCCATTTCTTTAAACTCTTGTAAGGAGACTATTATGATTTTAAAAACCAGTATCTGACATGCAAAAATGAAGTCTCATTATTGTTTTAATGTGTACACTTTGTAACAAGGTTAGCATTCTTCATGGTTTTTGCTGTGGTTCAGCTTTATTTTCCTTTGACAAATTATAAGACTTTTATATTACTGTCATTTTTCTTTTGAAATAAGAAAAAAATCCACTGGGGGAAAAAGGTGACAGAGAGGGGCGCCTGGGTGACTCAGCTGGTTAAGCGACTGCCTTCGGCTCATGTCATGATCCTGGAGTCCTAGGAGTGAGTCCTGCATCGGGCTCCCTGCTCGGCAGGGAGCCTGCTTCTCCCTCTGACCCTCCCCCCTTTCATGCTCACTCTCTCTCATTCTTTCTCAAATAAATAAATAAATAAAATATTTAAAAAAAAAAAAGATAAATGTCTGAGTTTTGTACCTAAAAGCAAAAACACTTTAGGTAAAGATTTTCTTTTCTAATGTTGCTGAACAGATAATAAGGTCAAATCTTCAATACTATTAGAGTGTCTTAATGTTAACATTTAAATAATCTCCAACCTCTGGAGGCATTTCCCTCAGGTGAATGGGGGAGTGTAATTCATACATTTACATGCTTGTTGCCATATATATATATATTTTTTTTAAGATTTTATTTATTTGCAAGAGAGAGAATGAGAGAGAGAGAGCATGAGAGGGAGGAGGGCCAGAAGGAGAAGCAGACTCTGAGCCGAGCAGGGAGCCCGATGTGGGACTCGATCCCGGGACTCCAGGATCATGACCTGAGCTGAAGGCAGTCGCTTAACCAACTGAGCCACCCAGGCGCCCCTGCTTGTTGCCATATTACTGTGTGAGGATAATTCTGCCCCAGCTACTTTTAACAAGGAGAGTAGCTCCCTACACATTTTGTGCAAAAACACTCGACCCTTAAATGAAACACTGTTACAAAAAGAATAAAGTACCAAGAAATAAAGGATATTGTCCTGACAGTAACCGAAATTCTTATTTTGTTCTACTGTACCTTATGTCAGATATTTAAACCTTAAATATAAAAAATGATAGACTTCCTGGGAAAATCTTGAATGCATTATCAAGAGTTACAATTAAATGGCAAAGACTGGAAGGTGACATGCAAGTAGTTATGCTAAAGTCATGGGATTGCAGACAATTTTTATTTCCAAATTTTCTTCTATAGTATCACAACATTCAAGATAAAAAGTTACAGACAATAAAAAGAAATTAACTATTATAGTACATATAACACTCACAGAAAATACGGAATTTTGTAAATGGTTAGAAAGTATGCATGTTTGTCCTTGTGCTAAAATCCCAAAAAGTATCCCAAACAAAGTAGCAGTCATTTCCTCAACTTTAAATACTGTTATTTTACCAAAACAATTTTATGAGCTGCTGAGATCTTCTGATTAACTAGAAATTTCCCTCACCTTACACATGCCATAGTCAGTGAGTTTAATGTGTCCTTCTGAGTCCAGCAATACATTGTCCAATTTCAAATCTCTATAAATTATCCCTCGTTCATGAAGATAATTTAATGCCAGACTGATTTCTGCAGAGTAAAATCTAAAATGAAAAATAACTCATTTGATTCAAATTTTTAAATTGTGGTAAGTTTCTAGAAGTCCTACCCCCACCTGCAGATGAAAACACCAAAATCATGTCAAACGATTTTTTTTCTCCCAATGTTTTTAGAAACAATACCAAAACACAAATTGAAGTACCACTTTAAAACATCTAAGCCCAGAAGACAATTATAAAAGTTCCAGTCTACATGAAACTCGGACTTGTCATAAAATTATTAATTTGCAAGTCTTGAACAGAAGTTCTTAATCTGGGTCCTTGGCCAGACCTCTGCTGCTACAACCAGAGGCACGGTGGTATGTACATGAGTACTTATACCGCTTCTATAGGGTTTCCACAGCTTTCATCACTTCTCTAAGAGACCAGTGCTCTCCCCAAATGCTAAGAGTCACTGATTGGTCTAGAATAGAAAAAATACTAAAAGTTCTACTCAAACTATAAAATCCATACCAAAATTCTAGAGAGGGAATTAAATTATTCTACAACCATACCATTTAATATTAAAGAGCTTTTTAGAACTGCCACTAACTCATTGGTGATAATGAGAACTTTTGACCTGAATAATGAAAACGAAACACCCAAGTTGGTTTATGGCTACTTTGGTGAATGTTACCATGATCATGGTTCGAGGTGCTTAAGACATACCTTCTCAGCTACTTAATTCTATGCATAGAGAACCTAAGCCTTTATTTTGCACTTTGGTTCCCAGAAAAGTAAAGATGAAATAAAACCGGAACTGGCACTTGAATACAGTAAAAATTACTCTCCCCAAGTCCCACTGAACAAACAAGGAACAAATACAGGCTATGGTCACAATTAGAAATATCATTTGTGGCTCTGCTATAAAGGGTGATCATTTAATAAAGACTAAATACAGGAAATTAACAAAACAAAACACAGTTTGGTCCAAGATTAGATTAGTACAATTTCTACCTTATAGAATTGAAGGATATTATCTCTTTTTGACAAGAAATAATCAACGTCCTTGCAAGATTTCCATGAAACAAGTATTTATAAAAATAATATCTTTAACCTTTATTACATGCATATACAAACTCATATGCTTCATTTTGGCATTACTTTTATGGAACACAAAAGGGTGAGGATTATTCCTAATTCTGAGTAAAAACAAAGCAATACATGGCACAGATGAATTAAACTTATCCAAGGCCATGATCCTTCCCCACCTAACTCCTCCAACATATAAGCAATTTACAGTCTTATATAATAATATCAAATTAAAGACACAAAATAAATAAGTAAATAATATTTAATGATCTTTTCTCTTTTTTATCGACAGGCATGAGATGAGAGAAAAAAAAGTCAAAGGCAGAAAAATTCAGAAATTATAATTACAGGAAGAATAGTCAGAATTACATAATAGCTTAAAAGGAATTGTTCTATTACTCTAGTATATATGAATAAGAATCAATGAAAAACTGTCAGAAACAAATAATGCAATATATGTTAAGAAAAAAAAGAATAAGAAGGTAGCGGGAGGGGAAGAATGAAGCGGGGG